CTGTTTAGTAATTAGTTTTCTTTGTATTTAAGCCCTGTCCTGTCTCTGTCTTTTGTCGGATCATTGTCGTGTTTTTGCATGTGTCTGGTTTGGTTCCTTGTGCTTTGTCCTGAGTGCTTTGTTCCCCTCGTGCCTGATAATCTACAGAATTTGTAAGTTTGCTGCCAGCAGCCCTCTTTTTGTTTATTATTAAACCTTTTTGTTACATTTTTGAAAACCTGCCTGCGCCCTGGATCTGTCCTTGCCAAATCCTCACAACCACGACTCAGCAGGGAGTAAAACTCTCTCTTAATTTTACTTAAATGTTCTGTAGTATTTATATCACATTTAGTCAGTTGTATGTGTAGCATGTACCTTTTAAAATTATGTTTCTATGCAGGAAATACCAGGTAGAGCTCAGTTAGTGTTTGTTAGCTTTACTCAGCTGTAGCAATGAGAGGTGGAACGGGATGTTTCCTGTTTAGTTGAAGTCAAACAAAACACTGAAGCTATTTGTATTATTGTTTTATTATTGTATTATTATTTGTGTTATTGTATTATTATTTGTGTTATTGTATTATTTGTGTTATTGTATTATTTGTGTTATTGTGTTATTGTTATTGTGTTATTGTATTATTGTGTTATTTATTGTGTTATTTGTGTTATTGTATTATTGTATTATTTGTGTTATTGTATTATTATTTGTATTATTGTATTATTATTTGTATTGTTTTATTATTTGTATTATTGTATTATTATTGTATTATTATTTGTGTTATTTGTGTTATTGTATTATTTGTGTTATTGTATTATTATTTGTATAATTTGTCTGTAAATCACACAGATTTCCTCTCAGTTTGCAGTGAGTTAACATGTTTGATAATAATAATGATAATATTCACGTGGCTCTACGTGTTGCTGTAGTTCATCTGTTGTGTTAAAAACTCACCATGAAGGAGTAAACTCCACATGAGCGTCAAAAAAGCCCGTCACTTCAGCGGTGGCCACCTTCCAGCCCTCGATCCTGGCCCGGATCAGTCCCTCACGGTTCTGGTTCCGTACAATCTTCACCAGGCCCGGGTACCGCTTGTTGACGTATTCCTCCAGCGGTCCTTTCAGCAGCTCTGAAAACACCAAAAATACAAAACCAAACAGGTTCAGGTAGCTGAAGATGAGTTTATAAACAAATAAAACCCAGAATTCTGATTTATGACGTCTTAAAACATAAATCATAAACCACCCGCTGAGCTGATTATTTCACTTCATTTAACATTTATTAGGTCAGATTTCCACAACAAACTGCTGTTAAAAACAAGAAAAACCTGAGAGGGATGTGTTCCCCACAGACACATTCAGGAGCAGCAGATTAACAGAGCAGCACATGTGGGGATTTAAGCTGCTCCCTGCAGAGGAAACATCACAGACGAGGTGATTAAAGCCTGCAGGCCGCAGGTTCAAGTCTGACAGGAACACATGGATTCATGTGACCAGACAATCCCAGTTTCTGTCTAAATAAAACCAGCACAGCACAGGCTACATGCTACATGCTAATAAGTTACATGCTAATAAGTTACAAGCTACACGCTACAAGCTACAAGATATAAGTTACAAGCACCATGCTACATGCTAATAAGTTACAAGCTACACGCTACAAGCTACAAGCTATAAGTTACAAGCTACACGCTACAAGCTACAAGATATAAGTTACAAGCACCATGCTACATGCTAATAAGTTACAAGCTACACGCTACAAGCTACAAGCTATAAGTTACAAGCTACACGCTACAAGCTACAAGTTACAAGTTACAAGATACAAGCCACATGCTACAAGTTACAAGCTACATGCTACAAGTTATAAGCTACAAGTTACAAGCTACATGCTACAAGTTACAAGTTACAAGCTACATGCTACAAGTTACAAGTTACATGCTACAAGTTACAAGCTACATGCTACAAG